GGTCTCTCCTGCCCGGGCTGGCTTTGAACCGTGATCCTCAGATCTCAGCCTCCTGAGTAGCTAGGATTACAGGCGTGAGCCACCAGCGCCCGGCTTCGATTAAAATTCTTAACCATAATTTCTTGGTCTTTTTTGTCTTAGACCCTTCTATTCATGCACAAATTTTAGTACTTAATTTTAGGCTCTAAATGGGAAAATGCTGAAAAGTATTTTTTAAAATGATATGCAGAGACCACAGACTATTTGAAAAGCATTTGAAAAGTGGACAGAAATAAGAGACTATTTTTTTTAAAGCTAATGTGATACCTGAAATTTGAACTTTAGTTCTGCTTTCCTGCCTTAATGACATTTCATTCCCCTCCATTTTTTAAAGATTTCTGCAGAGATTTTCCTATCCCACCATATTAGTTTATAAAAGTAGTATACTTGGGAGGATGGGAGAAAGGGCTGTGGGGAGGTGACATGACCATAGTATGTTTCTTGCAAACTGAGCTTCCTTGGCTAATACAGTTAATAGATGCGTATAAAAAGCAGTCAATGGTCCTTTTAGTTTGTAAAATAAAAATCTCTCCAGATTATATTGGAATAGTATGACTTTCCATTTTAGACAATACTGTCATTGATGAGAAGCTATGAAAACCACAACACAACTAGAGGAGGCAGATAAATTGAGAAAAGTCTATTTGGACACATACTGTTCTGATGTTTAACCACTGCACTGGCAACTGTTTTATATAGTCTGTTGGAAAAAATAGTTCAGAAAATACTATAATTTAATTAATTTTTTTTTTAAATTTGTCGGTTGTGGGACTTAACTCTGGACCTATCCCTCAGCTCTTCAGCTAAAGGCAAGCGCTCTACCACCTGAGCCACAGCGCCGCTTCCAGTTTTTTGGTGGTTTATTGGAGATAAGAGTCTCATGGAGTTTCTTGCCTGGGCTGGCTTTGAATCGCGATCCTCAGATCTCAGCCTCCTGAGTAGCTAGGATTACAGGCGTGAGCCACCAGCGCCTGGCTAAAAGTCCCAAAGAGTCTCTTTTTTTTTTTGTCGGTCGTGGGGCTTGAACTCTGGGCCTGAGCACTGTCCCTCAGCCCTTCAGCTCAAGGCCAGCGCTCTACCACTTGAGCTACAGCGCCACTTCCATGAATGACTCTTGAAAATAGTTTTATGAATGTATCTTGGCGTTCATGTCTTAAGTTTCAGAAAGAAGGATTACATATATAAGCCATTAGAATCTAATTCTTGAATAGGTGACATTTAATCACATTTCAATACCCAGTTTATTTAAATATTTACTCACAGTCACAAATTTTGTCATGTTCTCACTTTGGATTTGTGATTGGAAATTCTTTTGAAGTCAGGGACTGACCACCTGTTCCACTGAGATCCCAGGCATGGAACAGAGCTAAATGGACCAACTTCTCATTAAATCGGACCTCTGACCCAAACTCGGCATTTGCTCAGCTTGCCAGAGATAACACTTGGAGGTCCGTTCCTTTCTTCCATCATCTTAAAGAGAATTTACCCCATTTTTCTCCACCACTGGCTAACCTTTGACTTCCTAGACCGGCATCTCTTGCCAACAGAGGTGTATAAACACTCTTGGTATGTGAAGATTAAAAGCCTGTGGCCCCTGCAGGTGCCCTGAAGCAAATTTGTTCAGAATTAATTTGGCGCCTCCAATTGTAGTTTGTTTAGGATAGGAAACCAAATAGAATTCAATAGTGTATCTAGACTCTCAGGGCTTAATACTTTTGTTACAAACAACAAAAAAGAAAATATGACCAAGAGCCAGTAACATTTACTCTTCAAAGGAAAGTTTTTGTCTTTCTTTGCCTGGTTATCTTCAAGAGTTGCAGAATAAGAAAGAAAAATTCAGTGGAAATACAGTTCTGTCTCTGCTATAGAAAAGACCTTTTAAAGAGTGATTGTTGATGTAAAAGGTTAAACATTGTGATTTTCTGGGATACAAGCCTTAGAAAACAAGCCATAAGAAAAAGAACACGTAGAAATGAAAAACTTATGACTCTCAGAGAATTATTATGTTAATTATTTTAGGATCTTGTGGACATCTCAGTGGTTGGTTTCCACTATACATGTGGTCCTGTGAACTTCCTTTACTGAGTTGGTGGTGCCTACTTATCTGTAGTGGGAAAATCTGTAATGGCCACAACTGTTCTGAAGACTGAAAATACTGCTACAGAACATACTACAAGAATGTGCCATAAAAAACAATATTTAAGTTTCCCTATAACCAGGGAATATGAAGAAACATTTCCTCTGAGAAATTGTTACCATTGATGTGTCTGTAGTAATAGGTGAGTGGTTTATAGAGTTTAGAATGACAATTGGTGGGCCCCTTTGACTGGTTCCAGCTAGATGAGTCTGGCATTCTGGAACCAGGTAACTTGAAGGGATGGGGCTAGGATGGATAGAGGGGAATGGTGGAATTGAAACCCCTTTGTACAGCTATTTAAAGATAATAAAAATAAATGATAGTATATGAAATATTTTATAAGCCATCTTTTCAGTGTGAGAATATTACAGTGGTTAAGGCAGATGGGTACTCACTAACTCTGAGATTGTGAGTGTGTTTGATGCCTCAGCCAAGCTCTCTGTAAAATATGCTTGGTAACAGTATCTACCTCCTGGG